AACCGTTGTGGCCATATTCGGGAAAACTGCCTAGGGGCTCCATGGGGCTTTTGAAATTCTGCATCACGGATGAGAAAAAAAGGCCAGGGCTTGAAAGGAATTAGCAACTAAGAAGGCCGAGGCTTGCGGCGTGGGAATAAGCTGCATGAATAAATGAAACTAAGCCTTTTCAGCCTGCAACCAGAAAATGGTCTGCTCGTTATGCTCCTCTGTCGTCAGCCAACGCGCCAAGTGAATGGAAACGGCGGGACCAAAGCACCAATGGCTTAATGACATGGGCGTTTGCGCTCGTCTGAACAGGAACGGCGGCTCTGTCAACCCCAGCCGGCCCAACCTTGGCACTGTCCCTTGGACCTGGGGTGGTCGGCAGCCGCGTTCTGGGGAATGCACATGTGGCCACTAACGGCGGCCGGATGCCCATTCCAACCACAACCGACCCACGCACGACGATTGCAACACCTGCACAGTGGAGAAAGTTGGACCTGAAGCGAGCAGGCAAGATACCTAGCATCGACGCACCCCATCGCTCCGCTTCCCCGGGCTCGATGTTGGCCAAGCGGGTCATTAAACGGAAAAGCAAAAAGCACTGTCATGCAACAACACCCGGATAGGTAAACTAAAGCGCGCCAATTAAACAACTCCGTTTAAAACCGCGCCTGGCCAAAACACCAAACATGAAATACCACCGTCGTCGCACCTAATATCATCATCACACCCGAGGTCGCTCCGAGCCACAACTAGCAGCGCAATCCTTAAATGACTGCTTTAAGCCGACATTTCGTGCGCAGCCCTTCCTAGCAACGCTTAGCTCGCCGAGGGAGATCGCGCACCACAATGCCCCGTCTCCTAATCGCACCCGCCCTTAAGGTCGACGCCGAGGCCATCCACCGCCTCGACACCCGCAACTCCCAAAACCTTTTCAGCGTGTGGACTGGTGAGTAGTCCCGCTGCGGCAGCACCTTCGAGCTCGGCCGGCGGCTGGCGCTGGAACTTCAACCGACAACCGGGTTAGTCTTCGCAAGATGTGCCGACTCTGTCTCTCAGGGCAGGAGGCTAAAGAACCTTTCCTGGAGGCTATGGATGCACGAGATGTCCTTTCAAACGCAACCAAATTTCGATGATTCGTAGTGGCCCACTTGCCATTTCCTGGCAAGTTGAAGCTTGGGCAGTTAATCCACGCTAGCGCGCGGCGCCTGAGCCGCTCTTTTGTGGTTATTTTGCCGCTCTGCCAGCGCACAGCCAGAGGCAAGGTGGGGTTTTATGTTCGCACCTTTGCGAGCGTTTAAATTATGCACATGTCTGATTGTTTGCACCTGTTAAAAATAAGCACAATATGTAATAGGATAGCTACCCTGTACCAAGGCACCTACCCTGCAGTAGTGTAACTACCCTGTAGCTTTTACCTTTAAAGGTTGGGCTAGTTTTATGTATATAGCTTAGGTGGGATGCATGCATTTAACCTACCCTGCACTTCCTTCATTCTGTTGTGAGGGCCACTTGTTGTGGGGCCTACGAGTCAGCCACCCTGTAAGCGATTCGATCCAAACGGTGAAGTCAACTTTGGAGGCCGAACGCCGAGATGGGTTTGGTGGCCGTGGGTCGATTTTTGAAATTCCCTAGTTATAGTAAATAATTTTTCGGAAAATCGCGCGCGGCACCGCAAGCCCCTAGGGGGGAAAACCCGCGGGATCGACGTCGGTGGGTATATGAGTGAACAGAGTTGGCTGTTCCTCACCCACAATAAACAAGCCTATCCCAATTTGCTTGGGGCCCTGCACAGCACTAATTAGTGCGTTGCAGGGCCCGATCCAACTGAACGCGTGCAACCAGGTCCCTGTGACAGTGCAGATTCCCAACTGCGATTAGAACCTTTTAACAGCACCCAAATATCGAAAAGTACCCGCCAAACTGAACGTGCGAGTTTGCGCGACGGTTCGCGTTGGGATGCAGTGTTGAATGCGACGAACATAGTGTAATTTTATCCTCAGCTTTTTCGCGACAAAACGCGTTCCGCTAAGCCACGTCAGCCACAAATTATGCATAACCACTGCCCGGCGCTGCAGCCAGCTGCCCCACGTCGCGCGAATCTGTTTCTTCCACTTAAGCATCGCTCGCTCCAGCCTCGACGCAATGGCAGCCCTAGCCAGCGATCCTTAACGCGCCTCCCGAAGTTAAGAATACACTTCTAAGGTACCCTATAAGGTCTAGCGATGGGTTCGAAGCAACCTACCTGCGGGCGCGTGGTTGACCTATGGATCCGTTGGTTTATCCAAACTGGGTCCCATGAGGATACATTGACGTGCGGGGGTAGCCAGCCGTGAGTGCGCACGGACGGAAAAGTTTGGCCAATTGGCCAAACTTTTCCGTCCGTGCACACCCGTTCCCCAGGAAAAGCCCAACGATCGGCGGGCGCACGAACCGTTAGTGGGCCGAGGTCCACAAAGCCCACCCAGTCACTGGGCGCGTTAGCCCCAATAAGAGGCGGCTAGCCGCCCCGCGTCGCGCCGCTCTCCCTTTCTCTCGCACTACAAGCTCGATGGAGCCGCTTTCGACGCCATGTCAGCCGAAACCGACGACGTCGCTTTCGTCACGTTGACGAAAGCCGAGTTTGATAAGTTGTCACCGGCGAATAGGCACGCCGTTATAGAAGCGAAGACCAATAATTCCTCTGGTAAACACGCCGCCACCGCCAAGCAAGACCCCAAGCAGCAGACGCAAAAACTGCTGTACCAACTCTTCAGATTGCCCAAGGATGAGCTGCCCCAGCTGCTCAGTGCGCTCGGCTATCCACCGCGCGAGGCGGTTGAACGTGCGAGCAAGCCGACCAGCGATGACCCCGAGGTCATCCAGTTGCGGGAAAAGGTCGCGCAGCTCGAGCGACAAATGCAGACCGGCGAGCGGCACGAGGAGACCAGAAGACTGCAGAGCGAAGCCGAAGGGCAAACCAAGGAACGGCTGGCCAAGGACGAGGAGACCAAAAGACTGCTGGCCGAAGCGGCTAAGGAGAACGAGCGATTGCGGGCCGAAGTCGAACGGCTGAAAAATAATGCCGGAAAGGATGCCAAGCTTGGGGAACAACAGGGTGTGGCCAAAGCCGGTAAGCAGCCCAGACATTCCATCGCCAAATCCTAACAAATAACTAATCGCCCGACTTTGGATACAGGCACTAAACCACCTACATCGTCCGTTATATCCCTCCCGGCGTCGACGCGGGATGAGCAAGCAGTTCTGGCCAGCAATAACCCCATTCAGGCCATCCCTGACAATGCAGCCGCGCGTTCCGGAAGCCCTAAGGTTGATATGCCCAACGGTGCACCCGAAGACGACAATCTTGAAGCACAGCCGCCGTCTAGCAGTTCTCAAAGTGTAGCGGACCCTTCCGGAAACCCCGACGTCGATATGTCCGACGCCGACCTCCAAGACAGCACTGGACGGCCCGCCTCAAAATGCAGCCGATCCTCCCCTCGATGTCCAGCTATAGTCGATGTCGAAGCCTCAAAGCTGCCGCAGCTGCGTCGGGTTCCCGACGTTCCAAAATTCACAGGGCCTTACTCCAAGAAACTCCCTAAGCTACTTGAGTGGGGTGAAGAGCAGTTCCCCAGGAAAGGGCTCGCCGAGTTCACAGCTGGAGAACAAATTGGGGCTTGGGCGTTCCATCAACTCATGGATTCCTGGCCCGTGATTGACCACTCAGGGCTTCAGAAGTTCGTGCAGGAGCCTGGCAAACTGGAGCCTCGAAGCGTTCCCCGGGTGATTAACGAGGCGAGGGAAAAGCGCTTTGTTATCATCCTTTGCCATGTTAAAGATCGGGACCAACTGTCAAAGCCACGCCTAATCATTTCGTT